GTTTTCATAATTCTCATACAGAAAGTTTTGATTTTGCTTTAATTTCTCTAAAATTCTCTATCATTTTCCACATGGGACACACTATAATATACTGCAATGTTTTCTCTAGTAACTAGCGGTACTCGGTGGTTCAAATATAAACTGAACCACTTAATAATAGAATTAACTGTATAAATGTTTTTCAAATATAAATTGAAAATGAAAATCAAAACTGAGGAAGGGAGAGATAAGAAACGGAAGGTCTTAAGTTAGAGGAATAGCCATAGCCAACCAACGTAGCCGCAGCCAGAAGAGGTAAATATTTATCTCGTTGCCTCAAAACACCATGTGCTCAATAAGCATGTTCTGACGATAACAATCAAAGTTGGCTATTGGCGAACAGTTGTACCCAGGAGCCTATCTAGAGTTCATTTGAAAAAAAAAAGATCCTCTTAATAATTGAGTAGCCACGTTAATTTGGCAATATACAGGCATATTTGGATCCTCCTCAACTAAAATTTATCTATTTAATTGCTAGAGCTCAAACTTAGCTAGCTAAATTTTTGCTAGAGGTGTTTGATCCTCTAGCTAATTGAAAACCTTGACTATACTACTCCTCATTAATTCTATTGCTTAGCTAGCTAAACTTTAGTTGGGGTGTTTGGATTCTCTAGCTAAACTTTAACTATAGATAGTTTGGTCATCGAGGCCTTTTAGCTAGTTTTAGCTATGATGAAATAGCTAAAATGATTATGTACAGTTTAGTCCTAGCTAAAGTTTAGCTATGAGCTGTTTGGATCCACCGTAGCTAAATTTAGCTAGCTAAAGTTTAGCTCGTGGATCAAATAGGGCCTACTTATTGTACTATTTCTATTTTCCCTAAACTAAAGTACATTATAGAGGTGTTGCAGTGATCCATGAATGATGGTGAACCGTTAAGGCTAGATCCAACACTCCAGCAGGGATAGTGGTCTTATCATGCCACAACAGAGTATAGCTCTCGCGAAAGAGAGAAGAAAATAGCCGTGGCTTGCAGGACATGCTAGTAGTTCCCGCTGAGGAAGCTATTGTATTAGAAAAGAGACTGAGAGAGATAGTGAGATAAAGCTGATATTTATGGATGTTTTTTTTCTTGTGCACAACAGTCTGTGCTTGTCATGCGTTATAGCATTGATACTTCAATAGAGGTTAGAGGTTAGGAGTACGTGACATCTTCTCTCACCTGAGGCCACCAATGCTGTATGCTTTTGCGTTGATAGTGGTCTAATAGGGTGCATATGCAAACTGTAACCGTTTTCTTCGCTTCAGCAAATCAGTTTGTGTGTGCCATATCGGACGTTTAGACATTTAGTACAAGTTATCAGGTAATTAGTTTGTCTTTTGTGTTCCATCCGAGAGAACTAAAAATTGGTAGGCTGCATAACGTTTGAGGCAACGAGATAAATGTTTGCTTCTTTTGGCTGCGAGCCTACGACTGTGTTGGACGCTTGGTGGCTAAGCTACCGTTGGGTCATTTTTCCTTTTTTTTTAATAAAAAAATGCTGCCGTTGGCTTGTGAAAAAACAATAGTGAGATTTCTCGAGTAACCAGTGTGGTCATGGATGTGGAAATTAATTCCGAGATATGTTAAAAATTTCTCTTGATATGATATTGATACTCTTGATATCTATGGCTTTATTAGAAACAAACGCACGAAAGCTGGTGGTCCATTTAAATGCTTGCTCTACCCCGTGTGCGAGTTATTAGAAACAAGCGCACACCGTCCATGAAAATACTTGCTGCGCACAAGTTGTAGATGTTTTTTGCGCCTTTCTTTCGCGCCAAAGACCATTATTATTCTATTAATTGCTAACGAACATTAAGTCGTTAATTGCTAACCAACTCTATTCTTTCGCGCCAAAGACCATTATTATTCTATTAATTGCTAACTAACATTAAGTCGTTAATTGCTAACCAACTCTATTCTTTCGCGCCAAAGACCGTTAATTTTGTTTGGAGGTTTAAATAAAACTAAGAACCAACTGATCTACGTGTGTAAGCATCACATTTCACGACCTCTAGTAGTTTGGTTTCTGTATTTCGCGTCATGGTGCCTTAGTTCACGCCCTTGTTTGACGACTAGGGTAAAGTTTTGCAATCACACCTCCCATGTCATTTTCCTTCACAATTTTTTGATAAAATATAAATACATGCACTATTCTACAAATAAAGTTTTGTTAAATGGGCCATTTGGAATTTGGATACAACAAAAGGAAATTATGAATATTTTTTAGGGTAGGCGGCCACATTCCAGAACCTTCTGCGTTCTGAGCGGTACTAGGTCTAAAACCAACACCATCTCCCCTCTATAAATTCAGTCGAAATTCACCAAATTCTCCAAAATTTCTCAGTCAACTACTAGTCAGCACCGCACACAGTTGCAAGTGTAAGAAGAGAGACAGAGAAGGCCGGTCGGCTTCTCCCTCCTTTAACGCCCGGCGCGCGCGCCGTGATAGCCGAGGCGGGCGCGGCAGCGTCCGCCAGCGAGCAGCCCGGCGCCACGGCTCGACGCGACCCCCACCGAGCTGAGCTCTTCCGGCGGCTCGACGCCTCCTGCGAGGCACGCCGCCTCGAACAGTCGTCTCCCCCGCATTTCGCCCGGTCTCCTCCCCCGCGGCGGCCGCCGGAGCCTCCCGAGGACGACGACCAGCCCATTTGGCCGCCCCGTAGCCGCTACTGGGAGCTCTACAAGTATACGCTCTATCCTCCTTGTCTCTATTTTGCGATCGTTGGTGTATTGATTTCATTTCGCGTGCGGTGCTCACAGAAGAACTGAATAAAAGCTTGTTCGTGTGGTTAGAATTCCGGTGATTTCCTGCTGGTGGAGTTTCGTCTTTTGTGCTAGCCTTGCTCGATTGAATGTTAGGTAGAGTCTGTGCTGGTGGATGTGCGATTGGTGATTGTGTATGGACGTGAGATTTGGCGATTGTGTTTTTTGATGAAACTGATTTGGCGATTGTGTTGTTTTCACATTCCAAGCGTAGGTATCAGAGAGTTGCTTCTCTTGTTGCTAACAAGAATGCCACAGATTTGTGCTTGGCATGTTTACAGAAGAACTGAATAAAAGCTTGTTCGTGTGGTTAGAATTCCGGTGATTTCCTGCTGGTCGAGTTTCGTGTTAGCGTTGCTCGATATCGATTGTTAGATAGAGTCTGTGCTGATGTATGTGCGGTTTGGCAATTTTGTCGTTTTTCGCATTCCAGACGTAGGAATCAGAGAGTTGCTTCTCTTGTTGCTAACAAGAAGGCCACAGATTTGTGCCTGGCATATTTACATGCCTAAATCCTTGGATTTTGGTGACATTCTAGATTTTAGTTTAGGATGTTAGAGGTAGACAACACCTCGGTTCATGTCTTGCAAGCCTGAGAACACATACGGTTCGAGAATCACGATTTCTGTTGTTGGTTGGACTAGCCTTGTACTGTTTGGATTCCAGAGTCATGTGTTATAGTATTGGAATGCTGATTTTTTTGGACGAGGGGAAACTCTCCGGGGTCACCTTTTATTATAGAAAGAAGGCTCCATAAAAAGTTTGTGGTCAAAACATTAACAGTTCGCCCTGCCATTTTGAACATAGCTACTGGACAGAATGAGTTATGTGTCTGAAACACATTAAGAATCCAGACAAGTTCAAGTCTGAAGAAAGTGGTTCACAGGCTTGCAAGAAGCAAGAAATATTAGCTTCATAACATTTCTCATTAACTTAATGCTATTGGAATGCTGACTTAGGTTTGTCAACTTAATGCTGTGCTTCTAATGCTAATGATAGATTGTATCTAGCCTTGGGGTTTTGGTATTTGCTGCATTAGCTCTACTTAGTTTAAATGTTACATGTTAGGAAGTTATGCGATACCTTATTGTAACAGGATCCAATTGGCAATTCCCTAAATGTAGTAATGAGGAACTATGTTCGTAAATATTTTTATTGCAAACGATATCCTGGAGTCAAGCTGAGGAATCTTTGTAATTGAGTTAGTGCTACTTAGTTCAGTTGTCAAATGCTTGGAATTTGTGCTAAACCAAACTGAACTTGATGTACAACCTTCCATTTTGGTTTGAGAAATACCTTGTTTGGAGAAAAGGACTTTGGTGAACCTGATTGGTTGGGCCCTGTCATTACTAAGGAGGTGTTGGCTTCTATGGTGATATCTACCTTTCTGATCGTAGGATGTTACACCACCTCAGTTAGCTGTACAAGGTGGAGATTTATACAGCACAGTAACTAATCTTATACAGCCAAAATGAAAAGGATGTGAAAAATACTGGTTGATCCATGTGTTATGCAGATGCTTTTTTTAACATACCATAGAGAATTTATTAGCAATGGCCTTCTATAAAATGCTCTGTAGAATTCTGTTGTCAACTTGGAATGGTTGTTCTGCTGTTGGCTTTTTGAGTGTATACTATAGTTTTGACATTTGAGAACTTGGTTTCTAGTATTCTAGGTACATTAAATCCAAGATTTACAATGAATGTTTTTTAGGTAATCTGCTGTGTATGCCTGTTATTGTATTGTTTCCCTTCTGTGGTTTTCAGTTGCACTATTGTGTATCTAGCTAAAAAAGAAGTATTTGATCACTTTTCCACTTACATTAAATATGTTTACCTTAGGGATCTTTCAGAATTTTAGGCTTGTCTCAGAAATCCCAGTTTGAAAGTATCCCTTCTGTAAATTCTGTTTTGTCTGGGTGCTTTCTCCAAATTCCAAATCCAAATGCTTTAGTCCAAGGTGTAGGCTATATTATCATACTTCTAAGAGGCTCAACATTGACTTGTGCAATGGTTACAATTCCCTAGATTTTGGGTACTGGAACTGGACACACACCACACAACTATGTACCACACACACACACACGAAATATGGAGCTATCTTTGTACTGAAGATATTATGCTTATGTATCGTTATATTATGATATGAAGCTATCATTTACCTTCTAACGTTAAATTTTATTAACTATCCTTTCAACAGGTCCTTAAAAAATATGGAGTCCAAACCCGAAAATTCTATGATCAGTCCCACTGAGAACTCTGTATCTCCACCATCTGGGAAGAGACAGAAAACATTATCTGATAAAGATGGTGACCAATGTGATGATGCATCTCAGCAAGTAGTCATCTATAAGAATGACAAAAGTGATAGGGGAAGAGATGAACAGAGTGCAAGCCATCTCTCAATTGTACCAGCAAAACCATCAGAGAAACGAAAGCGTGCATTGGGAAAGCAAATTGGAGCCTTTGCTGCTCAATGTGCTAAATGTCAGAAATGGAGACTTATTTCAACAAAAGAGAAGTACGAAGAAATTCGAGAGCAAGCTCTAGAGGATCCTTTTGTCTGTGAGAAAGCCCGTGAGTGGAAGCCTGATGTGACATGTGATGACCCATCAGATGTATCTCAGGACAGCGGTAAGCTTTGGGCAATTGATAAACCTAACATCCCACGGGCCCCTCAAGGATGGGAAAGGTTGATTAAGATAAGAGGTGAAGGAAGCACCAAATTTGCTGATGTGTGAGTAACATTTTTCTCGCCAAACCTTAAATCCTTCCTAGTTTGACCACTTATCTCTTAGCAAATGGCATTGTAGTTGTTACATATGTCCAATCTTATGAACTTGTACGCATACTTGTGTGCTATCTGTTATCTTTCCTCTGGCTGACGTCTAACCTATGATCTAAGTTCATAGTCCATGGCAGCGAACAAATGAAGAAAGAAAAATCTAAGTTTTAATTGTTTAAAGAAATGGGAAAATTGGTGTTTTAGTTTAATATCATACAAAACAGTTCTCCTTCAATATATTTATACCTGCAGCTAGTATTGTTTACTGTAGTCAATCACCCATATTGATATTAATATCATGCTGCATGGTGTTCTAGCACTGGCATCTTGGATAAATATGGTAGTGCGCATATCAACATTGTATTCATGCTTTCAGGTACTATTGGTCCCCTACAGGAACACAACTGAGATCAAGTAAGGAAGTGGAGAAGTATGTCAAGTTCCTTTGGTCAACTCTTGCTTCAATCTCTTCACTTAAAGCATATTGTTGCTCAAGTTCAGTTTTACATGCATGTAGTTGTCTGATCGAAATTTTTCTCTAATTCTTCGAACTCCATGCTTGGATAGGTACCTTAAAGAGCATCCAGAATGTGCTGCACAAGGTGTAAAGTTATCTCATTTTTCATTCCAGTCACCTGCACCACTACAAAAGGACTATGTTAGGAAGCGTTCCCAGACAAGCCAAAGTGGTGTTACACCAACAGGGTCAACTAAGCTTCTCCTACCAGAAGAAGGTAATGTATATTACATAAATTGAGCATCCTACATTTAATGTTTTCTAGTCTCCCTTTTCACTTCTCCTATATTTCAGGGGGAACTGTTCCAATACTCCTCCTTCTAAAAAATACACGAATCTTAAAGCATCCCATCTAGCCAATTATTCCTTATTAATTATTTTTCTCTCGGGCCTGACCCGTCCAAGCCCAGCGAGTGTCCAGTCCTCACCCAAATCCAAAGTAATATCTCTCAGATCCCCCTTTGTTCGATGCCTGCTCGTTTGATTTCCTCGTTGAAGGAGACCGACGCAGTATCGAAACTTGTCCACACCCTGGCCGTCACCGCCCGGCTCGTCGCCGAAGCCCGCGCCGTCCTCTGCACCGTCCTATCAAACATCCAGCTCTCGTCGTTCAGCCTTCGGCCTCCCATTAGAATAGCGTGCCTGACCAAATCAGGAAGCACGCATCTGTGCGGCATTACATACATCCAACTCCAGCGCATTTTGCTCTATGTCCCGACGACGAGACGATGCCGCTCCTATCATGTGTGTCGCCTAGGTCCGCGCCATCCTCCTCCATGGCCCTGACACCGAGACGACATGCTCCTCTCCACTTCTCCAGCACCAGCGGCGACGATGATGGTACCCTCTCACGGCGGTTCTAGCACACTAGTAGGAAAAGAAATATGGAGTTTGGACTGGAGATAGCCTGGGTTCGGATGGGCCAGGCGCAGGCGTGACCCAGATGAAAATAATTAAAAATATTCTATTAATTAGATGAGCTGCTTTGAGATCCGTGCAAGTTTTAGAAAGAGGAGTATTGGAGCAGTTCTCTATTTCAGGTGCTTGATTTTTTGTTGTTGTTCAGGCAACATCTATTTTTTTCCATTGTTTGACTATAAAAAATTATGAATTATCTCATGTGAGTTGTCCTTTTAGTTGTACTAATTGGTTGTCTAAGATTGTTGCCTGAAAATTCAGGCACCTGAAATATAGCAACCTCCTGGCATGTTTGGGATGTGCCTATTGCTGCATGGTTAGATTGACATCTTCCTAGTGGATAGTAGTAGCTATCTAGATGTTTGTATTTTCTAGTAAGCACCAGAATTCTGGTGAAGGGTGGGCCTGGTGTAAGCTGTAGAGTCTTACCGCATGTGACCAGAAGGTTCCTGGTTCGAGTCGCGGTCTCCTCGCATTGCACAGGCGAGGGTAAGGCTTGCCACTAACACCCTTCCCCAGACCCCGCACAGAGCGGGAGCTCTCTGCACTGGGTACGCCCCACCAGAATTCTGGTGCGAAGTTACTCGGCAATTGGTTGATGTGTCATAGATTCTGCACATTTGTGTTGCAGCTACATCCATACAATTGGCTGTTCATATTACAGTTGTGCCTGGGACACTTGTGTCCTCGCTCCAACCATATAGACATTTTTGTCCTCACTCCAAACATATGGCTTCTAACATGGGCTAGTATTTCGACATCAATTGAAGCTTGCTCGTTATTCTCATCTGATCCCATGTTTTGTTTCTTGGTTCAGTGCAACCCATCTCCTGGGCACTTCCACTGGCGGATGACAACCTGGAGAACAACATGCAGCTGGTCCTCTACAGTGGAGATCAGACTCAAGTGGTGCAGTCATCGTCTGAACCGCCGGAGCCTGAGAGCCCGCCGCCTGCACCAGCAGCTTAGCCCAAACCCGCATTCGGCGAGCCCAGGATAATCTTTTTGGTGGTTGGTGTTAGAATGATACAAAACTATAGACGATGCTCCTACAAGGATCGCAGAACTTAGTCCCCATAGCTAGGTAGCTGCCGTGTTCGTGCTGTTTTATTGGTTCGTTGGTTTGGGTCCGTCGGGATCAGGTAGGCTTGTGTTGCTTTCGATCGGCTGCTACTTAAACACCTCTATGACAACGTGTATGTGTTGTGTATGTGTTGTACCGTAGCTGCTGCTGCTGGGTGCCAGATTGCTAGTCATGGTCAGATGAAACTGAAATTTTTGGACGACAATCGACAAGAACGTGTCGTCGAAGTGATAAGGTTTAAGATTTGGAATTATTGGTCATCAATTGTTGCCGTGGTTACAGTTTAACCTTATGTGTTGTTGTGGATGCTTGCAAGTTACAGTGTCCATTGGCATGTGTCTCACACACACACGCACATACACAAATCCATGGACGTGTCACGCGCACAGACATGTTGACATCAATGGTTCACAGACTGAACAAAACAAAATAACAAGAGGATAGGATAGCATCTTTCGTCCATGCATACTTACACTTAGTTGACAGAGAACAGAGCAAGCAAAGCAACTCGTAATGACAGTATGGGTATGATAGCATCAGTTGTCCCATAGATGATGGACCGAGCAAAATAAAACCTTCTCCCTATTGGTTTACAGAAACCTAGCAACATATGAAGTGCGCAACATTAGCTGCAGTGCTAGAAACTCAGATAGCATGATATGTCTATTACTCTCTCTATATATTGCTTGTTTTAGATATTGCACATTTGTCTTTGTTTCTTTTTTAACTTTCTTCGCAAACCCTGTCCCCGGAAACGGTCTACTTTGAAGCCATGTGTCGCCGCACACACCTCATCACAGGTGAAACTCCTGACACGAATGTGCCTCTCTAGACGTTGATCTGTGATGAAGTCATTATGAGGGGCCTCAACCATGACTATTGATTCTGCCATATCTGTACAAACAAAACAAAAATGGACAAAACAGGGAGAGAAAACAGAGTCAATGGTTGAGCGCCCTGGTGATAGAGAGCCCCCACCTCCCCCTCCGTCGGCGACCTCCCTGGCGCCGGTGTCCACCCCCTCCTCGGATGGCCTCTTTGCCCAGCGCCCTCCAGATCTGCCCCCTCGCCTGCTGATGATGACGAGGTGGAGCTCGTGGACTGGAGAGACAGCGATAGCACCGACGACATCGAAGCCACCACCGCAACCACCTATGATGCGGAGCTTGCAGATCCGAGGGTTGGGTGCACTGCACCCCCATTCGGGGTCACTCTCTGTTTCACTGTGTTGTTAGGGGGACCGGTTCGACTGGTCCGACGCCCCTTCTTCACTCTTTTCAGGCGCAACTTTCAACCCTTGCTCTCATGTGCCAACACCAAAGTGTCCCAAACACTTGTGCACGTGTGTTAGTATTTTTTCACAATCATTTTCAAGGGTTGTTAGCACTCACTAGGTCCTAATACAAATGCAAGGAGTTAGTTCACCTAGTAGCACTTGATCACCGCAATTACCATGAGTTTTCCCCTCTTCATAGTATGGCTATTTATCCTAAACCCGATCATGCACTCTATGCGTCTTGACCAGCAAAACAAAAGCCTAGCTTATACCTTTGCCTTGCCTCCATGGTGGGTTTAGCTTTTCTCCTTCTCTTTTCAAGTTGGAGCACTTGATCAACATCACGAGGCCATCTCCATCACCTTGAGTGCCATCTTACTCCACCCTGGATGTGAACCAATTTATCTCCATCAAATCACTTAGAGTAGATGGTCTGTCCACTAGGTTGTCTCAATTAGCCAAAACCGAATTAGGGCTTTCACCTTGACACGAGACTCTACTGATTTCCTCACCTGTTGGGTGTGGATGGAGGACCCTGGATGAGCTTCCGAGGTCCCTAGAGTTTACCATATGTTCACGACTAGGGCGGGTAGGCTATGCAGGTCAACGGCCTCCCACTCCGACATGCATCCCATCCACGCCACCGACTGGGCGAGCTAGCGATAAGGTCATCCTCATCCATATGTCTGGCTATGAGGATTGGAGGCAGCGCTCTCCTAATGGGTCAAACTCACGGATGTCCTCGGAGTACGACAATGTGGCGCCAACATACGTCCCCTTCATCTGGGCACTTGGTGTCCTCGACGGGCGGGCTGTACTGGGTCGGCAGGCACCCCCAACTGGATGTTGTGCCTTGCCAGCTCCCCCACCTTCCTACCGTTGGGCGCTCCTCGACGGTCATGATGACTAGGCCATGCATGGACAGGTCCTCTGATGACGGCTAGGTAGACAACACCTCCTACCACGTCACCTGTATGGAAGTCGGCACGGTGACGGTGCATGTTACTATTACACGTCTATATCGGGCACTGACCCCTCTAGTGAGGACGACGCCACGGTGGGTCACGATCTCTACAATGACCCTAACGTAGACCGGGTGGACGACAACCATGATTTCTGCAGCGCTAGCTTTAGGAGTGTCCCTGAACCACTGCTCACACACCCGACCTCTCCACCAACACGGGTTGGCAGCAACCGCATTGGAAGGGTGCAGAAGACTATGGCCGCTACCCGCTCGAGCTTGCGCCTCGCGGCGCGCCCATCACCGGTGTCGGTGGCTGAACGCGCCCAGAGGAAGCTGATGCACGAACTCGACTTCATCAACAACCAGTAGCTGGCGTCGAATGCAGCTGTCACCACCTATGTGGATATGTATGCTGATGATCTGCCGGAGTAGGCCATTGAGGTGATCAGGGCTGCCACGCGCCCGAGCAACAAGAAGCTGGCCAAAGCACTTGCGGCTATGGTGGTGCAGGAGACAGAGGCAGTTGAGATGGAGGTTGCCTGAAACTTAGATGCAAAACCAGTGTTGTTGTGTCTGTGATCCATTAATTGTAGTCTAGAGCCAGCACCGGCCGTTCTTCTACCAGTGGATTTAGTAATGCCAATGTTCATGATGAGTTATTGGGAAAGGTGGACCAAATGCAGGTTGGGACCCAATGGTGGACCTATATGGCTGACTTCCCTCGGTGGATATGCTAGGATGGATAACAACAACCCCAAGATCCTGATTTGGAAGGTGAACTGGAATGTGTGCGGACTGAATAGTGCAGCAAGAAGAGAAGCAATGAAGCTATCAAAGGTCCTAATGGTCACACAACTACCTAGTATCTAATAAGCTCTTGTGGAACCTCAAACCTCCGCAGCCTAGGCTGTAGCTGGTAGCGCCCCTCGCACGTGTAACAATTGTTTCCTACCTTCTCCTTATTATAAATCAAAGCCGGAAAATTGGATTCTTCAAAAAAAACTTTCTTTGCAAATCAATCCGAGGGGATTGAGGAGGTTGAAATCCCTAGCAAGTCAAAATCCTCTCTAATCCCTCTAATCCCTCTCAACCCCCCTCCCCAACCCCCATGGAATGGGGAATAGCCGAACAAGGCCGACAACATTATCGTGTAGTGTGCACCATGTGTTTTGTGCTTGCGTAGTTCTCTATACTTGATAGAACACCAATTTTGGAATATCAAGTTCTTGTGCAACCTGTATTTTGTGCATGTGAGAGGTATAGGAGATATCCATTGCTGATTTTACTGTGATTGTATGCATGCGTATGTACGTGCGTTTTTGTGCCTGCCTGCGTGTGTTGGAATACTACATCATCTATTCCATGAGACTAGCCACATGTGTCGATGCTCCAAAATATCATGTCACAACCGATGCTCCATTCTTATTTAAGCTACAATGGCAACCTTCATCTATGGCCGCCCCATATTGCAATAGGCAAATAGTACAACAAACATAACTTTATTCTCTCACCTCATCACTTTCTGTCAAATCCTCGTTTCACTTACAAGTAGGACCATATATCTTTCTCTCAACCAACACTGATGCATCTTGACATAGTTCTCAATGCTTGTTCTCCTAGAGTGGGCAAGCATCCAAGCTCACATGAAAAGAGTTTCATAAATCAATATTTCATAATGTTGTGGCCCGTCAACTTCGACATCTAGGCCTGCCCTACAAGGCTGCAAGCAGCGGATGTGAACGCCTATGATTGTTTGTTTTTTGTGTCACCTAAGGACATCACTTTTAGACAGAAAAAAAAGAAAAGGAAAAAAGTCTATTTTACCTCTTAAACTATCATTGTAATCTATTTTTTTCTTGAACTCTTAAACCAGACATCTTACCCCCTGAAGTTAAACACTCAAGATCATTCAAATTACCTCTCTGCCATGTTTTAAAGGTGGTTTTGTCTTTTTTAGTTAAAAAATCTAGTAAATACTTGATGAGGCCTATTAAACCATAGAAAATGCCTCCAAGATTCTAAAAGTTCCAAAAAAATCATAGAGATGGATTGGGATATGAAAAATCTAAATAAAATATTTAGAGCTCATGAAAATATCTTTAGCAGCTTCCAAAAATTATATTTAACTCTAGGATAATGTGAAAAACTCAAAAAATCTAGAAAAAATCCCAAAACATTCTAATGGATGTCTAAACGTGTTTCAAAACTTTCCACGACAAAAAAAAGACACAACCAACATGAAGCAGCATTAATGTGTGTTGCATTCATGCTAGTTGCATCTCAATTCTTAGCCAAAGTTTTTAAAACACATTTAGACATTCATTAGAATGTTTTGGAAATTTTCTAAATCTAAAGTTTGAAGTTTCTAAATATAGTTGAGGAGCTCTAAATATTCTATATGGTCGTATCCTAATCTATCTCTATCTAAAGTTCGTTATAGTTTATAAGTTGTTTTGGCTTTTCTAGATACATAGCTTTTACTATGCGCCTATATATATATGCTATGTCTAGATATTTATCAAAAGCGCTATGTACCTAGAAAAAGTCAAAACGACTTATAATTTGGAACATATTGAGTATACTTACTGATTTTTTAACTAGAAAAAAAAGACAAATCCGCCTTCAAAACCACTTCAAACTAGGAT